GTTGGCTTACACCAACGGTCTTGTCGCATTTCGTGATAGACCCACAAATTGTTGAAATATAGACCCAAGTTCAATCCCTTATGGGATTAAAATAAATTTGAACCTTTTCTTGATTTACGGGGCCATTTCCTATCCGCACAGTTGTTTTCAGTCGTGCGATCTCGCAGATCTCGCGGCTGAAATCGGCCCCGCCGGATTGCTTTCCCCACGACCGCTCCCCAAAAAAAGCTAGCCCAATGAGACCTGTTGGCTTCGATCCCTACATCTGCAGGATGTAAGGCTGGTGGTTTACCTACTGGGCTAGCTCCTACCACAGCATGATAGGATCAACTCTTCTATAAGAAGAGCTCGCCCACTCGCTAGACCGCCTTCGACGAGGTCCAGCAGGCTCGGCGATTCACGCCTGTTTGCAGGCCAACCACTCCTGTTCAATTGGCGGGGCTCCGAGGCCCCCTGGTCAAACGCCCAACCTTCACTATCCTGCAGCTGGCTCACACTCAGCTTTAATAAAAATATTAAGGTCAAGTGCAGCCTTTTCTCCGATTAGCTGAACCGCGGCCCTGACGGCCGCATACTTATTCAACCCTTACGTCGGCCGCGCACTCTCGCGCGATGACCTCTGTTAGCCCTTAGGGCTTTGAATCGCTCAGCTTCATTATTACTAATAGAATAGGTTTTATTACCAATCCCATACACTCCAGCGGGGTTACCATATACGAAGAGAAACCAGCCATGCCGCTTGTTCTCGCCGCTGTTTTTCCAGATGCCCAAGGCTTCTGGACACAAGTTCAAAAGTTTTAATTTTCTGGTTATAGGTAGTCTGAATAGATTAATGGCAAGCACGTCAGCCTCAACAAGTCAAAACCTCTTACAATTGTCGAATCCGACACCAGAAACCACATTCCACAGATCAACATGATTTCTATTTTCGGTCCTATCTATATCTTTTTATCTAGCAAATAATGAAGCACGCATGGATTGGTTGGCGAAAGTATTGGACGACAACCCTCCCTTTCTCCCCGAAAACGAAATAAACAAACCCACTGCATACAGGCTCCTGATGAGTCGGTGAAACTCCGACGAAACAGTTTGTCACAGCCCCTCGTTTGTTGGCATTTTCTCCCTCTCTGTCGGGCAGCTCTGTTTGATGATATATACACATATATATAGTCAAACAGAGCTGCCCGGTATACCGTAGGCAGAGAGGGAGAAGAGGACAAAAAACGAGGGGCTATACACATGCAATTTTAGCATTAAAAAAAAAGGGGGTCTCGAACCAATTATCTTGGCAACCCCCTTAATATTTAAATTAATAAAAGCAGCCCTTTTTTTTTTTTTTTTTGGTTAAAAAAAAACAAGCTCCATCTATTGGTGGGGAGCAGCATCTGCTGGAAACCGGGTCCAACGTCCCATAGATACAACCATATCCTCACAAATTGGCACAAACTGGGAACCGGGCCCAGCGTCCCATAACGAGATTGTTCAGAAAACTCGTCAGAAAATTTCATGAAAATGAGACTAGGAAGGAACCTACTAGAAAAAAATTGAGATACCGGGGCCATTTCCCGGCTTTGGCTCAGAGAAACTGGAGCTACTTCACACATGTCTACGACAACTTCATGATTAAGCAGAATTCAGAAACGACTCAGAAGAACCCCCATCAATCCACTTTACCTCACTTCGGCAAGACTGACTGCAGCGGAGCCACCATCTCTGCTGCTGCTATACCATGCTCCCATCCTACCAGCTAGCCCCCTCACTGGTAGGACGCGTGATAACCCACCATCTTCTCCCACTCACCTTATTCTCTTTTTGAGGTACCTAAGAACTCTTACCGTCGTTCAAGAAGCATGAGAATAGGCCATAGAGGTCCTACGATTGTTCCGAAAACCTCGAAATCCCACACAAACCCTTCCAACGTTCTCCAAAAACTGTCTTACTCCCTGCCGATCTCTTCTAGGTCTCACACCCCCACTTTCTGTTGGGTTACAGGGCAACGCAACTCACCCCAGCTCCGACCAGCGTCGTCCCGGCAACAACCCTTGGTTGTCCCGTGGGAACCCCACCCCAAGACATCCCCAGATCTCTCTACCAGACCTCACGCTCCTGCGTCGCAGGTTACAGGGCAACACCCCAGCACCGGTCAGCGTCGTTCTGGCATCGAACAGCCGTAGATCACTGAGTATAACAGCATCGAAGCCACCTAAGACGAGTTAGTAGGGATCCCAAAGTCCTAAAAAACATTCCTAGGACCACTAAGCAACCAACTCTTTTTGGGACATTCGAAAAGCTTTAGAAAAATATGAGAGCGGGGGGGGCGAGACTAAAACTGCCTACTATCCTAGATTCCCCCTTTCAACAGACGGGGCGTCGGTCCAGGCTTTCAGTCCTCGTACCAAAACTCACTTGATCTCATACCCCCTTCTGCTAGGGTAACAGGGCACCACAACCCTCCCCAGTACCGACCAACCTAGCTCTGACGGACAGGAAGTGCCTTCCTCACTCGACAATTCCCTTAGCGGCGAGCCCCTAAGCAGGTTACAGGGTCAATACCCCGGTGCCAACTACGTTGGACGATCTAGTTATGCCTTCCACCCTCGGCATAACTTCACAGGCCTCAAGCTCCCCCTGGGTTACATAGCAGAGGCTCCAGCACCGGCCTGTGTCGTCCCAACATCGTCCTTCTAACCTACTTACCCTAACAAACAACCTTTTTTTGTTGAAAATCCCCTTGCTGCCTTCCTTCC